GGGGTTATCATGTAAGTAGCGATGAGTTGCCTGGTTTCTGAGGGAAAGCCAAGGTGAAAATATCGGGCATAGCTGTGGGGAACATTATACATCGAAAGTTGGTTTCGTGCTTTAGTTAGAATTTCCCAATTTCCCGGAAAACGCTATAACACATCAAATCAGATTTTGAACGAAGATGAGTAGGTGAGAAGATAAAACAACTTTCATTCAGACTCTCAATATAATTCACGTTTACATTAAAGTATATTTTGTATATGAATATGTTTACTCGAGAAAGTGTACTCTTCTACACTTCTGTTTTGATTTGATTGTTGTTGTTATACTTCATGAAATAATAAAACATCTCCCTGTAATGTAATAGTCATCAGGTCTGATTGTAGCTCAAGCAATCTCGGTTCGATTCCGAGCGAAGGGAAATATCCTTTTTTTCTCTTCATCATTTGGCTGGATTTTTTTCTTTTTTTATCAAAGAAAAAGGAGAAAGAGAAAAATAAATGCAAAAGGTATGATGTGATGTTACTAGTTGATGACATATGTGTAAATGAAGATGATGTTGAATGATGCAAGAAAAAACTATATCCATGCCGGGAGTTGAACCTGGGTATTGGCGGTGAAAACACCAGATCTTAACCGTTAGACTACATGGATGTGATTTATTTATGATGATATAAAGAAAATATTGTTGTGAATGTAGGTAAAAATAACTTATATAGAACATAATAGATTTACACTTCTGTATACTTTATCGTTCTTGTTGTTCTTTCGTGGTAAATATGATGATGAAAATCGATATTTTATAACTGTGTATATTTTTCATGATTTGTAATAGTATTATTCAAATCTTTCGACAAAATTCAATAAGACTGATGGATTATCATCATCGGATGTATTGAAATCTAACATACAGTAACCAATATCCTTTAAAAACTGAGGGTGTGTGAGGGTGAGAGTATGATGATGGAAGATAAGAAATCGTCATCCACAGTTCATGCTTAAAAATCAGAAAGAATCGTTTAAGATCTGAATATACCCTACACATTCAATCGAAGTGTCACTGACAGAAATGCTTCGAATCCCATCAGCAAAAATAACAGTTTTTACGAATATTATGAATGTTCATGAAGGGATTTGCAAACAGTGTTCTTCGGTGCCTACCATATTAGTTCGCTGGAAACTGCCACATCTACACGCTATGGATTTCGACGAGATTAAATCACTGAAATGGCGGATGTATGTATCCTAAGCATGTCTTTTTTGAGTTCTGCGATGATTTCGGATTGTAACAACATTTCCTTGCAATATTTTCTCTTGAAACATTCTGTCCTAGCTCCAATATTTGTCTAAACACAAAGAAAATTATTTTTGTGGATTCATCAAAACAATCAGCGATGTTTTTCTTTTGGTCAAATAAACCATTATGCATTTACTTGGAATTATTAACATAATCTCGAAAATAAATCTCGAGAAATTGAATATCGAAGCCAAAATATCTCGAAGGCAGATATCCGAAAGATATAAAACTGCGAAAAAGCCAAATCCTAAGAGATGAAATTTAAAAAAATGAAAATTTATAATTTATTTAGTAAATTTACGAATGGATCTGGGGGTGGATGTCGATGATTGTATTACATGTACACTCAGTATCACATTCTCACCCACACCCACACCCACACCCTCACATCATATTCATTTCCGCAAGTTCTCATGAAGGTCTTTTGGTTTGACCAAAATGATTCCAGTTCGTTGTCTCTTCTTCAACTACCAGTTGCAAAGGCTTACGAAACAAAGAAGAGATCCCTTTAAAACTTTATTGAAATAATGAGTTTCATACGATTTCAAGCAGAAAGACTATGAAGAAACAGTTATACATAAATCGCCTTGGCATTGTTCATTGGATACGTGATGCTCATTACATGACCTAGTCCACGATACGTTCTTTGTAACCATGCTTCGAAAACTGCCAGTCCATTGTATGTCTGAAAACCTTTCTTGAATTGCCTGAAGGCAGGATATACTTTTTGCGGTGAGATCAAACGATCGTACACCACATTTACTAATGGTAGTCTCGTCTCTGCTAGTGAAAGATCTACGACAAAAAGAAAAGAAAATAGTGGTGCGTTCCAGAATTGACTTGCCTGCAAAGTAAAACATCGCATCAAGAACATTTGCTTTGTCGTCGTTCTGAAGCACATTTGTAAACATGAATTCGTAGACAACCGTGTGTTCGAATTCTACCAAGCGGCAACAATAAATTAGAGGTAATATAATAAAGAAAAAGTTCATTGCTTCTCTCCTTCTCTTTTACATAGATAAACACTTTACAAAGAGGAAAACAAAAGATGATCTATACGCATACCGTTATCGCCATTACAGAATAAATTTTCTTCGTCACATTCTTCGCCGACGTGTGTGTTAATCGAATGAATCGCAACAGTTAGCTTTGCCATTTTATTGTTTTGTTCAAGATGGCTGAAATTTGTTTCGAGTTCCATAAGATTGTTTTGAATGATCTGTTCGATCGTTTGCTCAACACTGGAAAGACAACAAAGATATCATCTGTGTTGTACCGTTATTAGATACTTACTGTCCATTCTTGTCCAGTTGACGAACATACGACTTGAAATAGGGTCCGATGATTTGTGAAATATAGGCGTGCAATGTTTGGCACGGACTTGAGTCGATTAAATTGAGAATCTGCAATTGCGTGGCATAATCTTTTCCGCTTTCGATGAATTGACCTCGCTTGAACACGATCAGTGAGATCATTTCTGGATTGATATAATGAACTTCCATCAACAGTCTATAGACATCGTTTTCATTATTTCTGTTTGTTTCCAGCTGGTTCATCAATGTATCTTGGACAGTAGTTTTCTTTGATACAAGCAATAGTCGACATCGAGGATCAGTAATGAATGACCGAATAGATTCGAGTGACAATCGATTGGAAAAGAGACGATCAAGGTCGCTCGTGTTTGTATCTTTCGAATCTAGGATCAATGTGCAGATGCTTTTCAAGTAACCAGCGAAGGTTTCCAAAGCGACCAGTTGAGTATCGGACGTTTGAGATGTGCGAATACTTGATGCAAAAGGTTCACACGCATCGGCTGACTCTGAGAGCTTCGCGGAAACAGAGATCGGATTCATTGTACAAACCTAGAACCTTAGGATCAATCGATGCATCGATCAAGTAATTAATAGTACGAACAGCAGCAATATCTTCGGAGTGATACGAATAAAACAATCTTGTTCAAAGCCAAATGTTGTTGTGAACAAGACGAACAAACAATAGCTGTCGGAAAGAGAAAGAAAGAAAAAGAGACAGAGTGGAAAGTAGACGATGGACGAAACGAATAAACAATAGCCGTCAGAAAGAGAGAGAAAGAAAAATGGGTAGTGAAGGAGAAAGGTCGATGACGCTAGAACAGCGCAGTGTTCGAGCGAAAGTATATTATGAAAAGAGTAAAAATAGCCGATGATGCAAACAAAGAGCGATGCAAGATGAATTGACCTATGATGCCTGTAGTCGCAGACGAAGGATTCCTCTTATTATACTGAAAAGCAAGATAGTTCTCATCGACAGTGCCTTTGTAAAAATATACAGATGAAACTGTCGTTGTCATCTTGTAAGAACAACCAATGGCACGTATAGAGAAATACATTTCCAGCAAAAATCGATTTTTCGGACTTTTCAAAAGCCTTCATGATAAGGAGATCTTCACTATACAGAGGTTTTACTGTATTATCCAAATAAAATCTTATCGACGTCTTCTCATTTCAATTCGTCAATGGTTGGCCGTCTGACTAGCCGTAGAGCGATGAATTTTTCAGTCGACATAGTTAGTGCTGGAGAATTATCCACTGACAAATGGCTAATCGGTCGGATTCCTAACGCGACCTTTGCATCCTATTCATTCTAGTGTGTGACATAGTACCATGATTCAGTTGAGCACTAGTAGCAATCGCAGTGCGTTTTTTCTCTTTCAAAGTCTCTGAATGTGTTCAGTATTAGGAAAAGTCTTTCAGAAAAGGGCCAGCGGATCCAAAGGATGAGCGTTACTTGTGTATAGTAAAAATCTCTCTATGTGTGTGTATATGTCTTTGTTATTTTGCTCTCAATGCATATATTCAATCCTCATTTCTAAATGATGTGTTAATTATTTTCATTCACATAGTCAACAACCACCGTTGCATATATACGTTTTGTTTTCTTCTTATTTCAGACAAAGAATACCAAGAAGAGACGAAACTGCTTAATGCATTATGATGAAAACGTATATGCGTAACAGCTAACTGTTTTTAATTGATGTATTACCATGTGAGTATAATTTCATGGTTCGTTGATTAATATTACTTAAAAAAATATTTATGCGTACTGCGCGCAAAAATACGAAGTAAATTGCTGCGCATATACACAATTAAAATTTCTGTTATTCGTATAGATAATTAACTGTACTTCGCCACTTTTGATCAGAGAAAAGAACGAACAAACAATGTGAATGAATGCGTGTGTCTGTCGATTTTATGCCCATTGTCCTATTTCTTGTAGATAGAAACAACTTCAATGACCTGCATAAACTCATCAGATACACGTGAAACTCAACGAGGCGCTCTACTTGAAAGGTTTGATTCATTAAATTCAATAGGTATCTAATTCACAATTTCTTTTTCAGGTCAAACATTGAACTAAAGGATAAACAACGGCGACGCAATATTACTCTTGTATCTACTTTATTCACATGCATAGTAATGGTTGTTGCTATCACGATAGTGTGTTTAAATACATCACATATAGGTATGTAAATACTCCATATATTTTTATTATTGAATAAGAAATGACTTACGTTTAGTATTTCTCTTATTTTCTTAATAGATAATTCATGCGAATCAAAATTTAAATCAGTCATAAGTAATAATTCATTTCAACAAAATTCACATCCACGTTCGATAACTATTGGTGATCTCAATAATGATCTATGGTTGGATATTGTTGTTAGCAATTCAGGAACGAATACTATTGGTATATTTCTTAATTATGGCAATGGAACTTTTGAACAACAAATGACATTTCCAACAGGAGATAATTCTATGCCACTTTCCGTCACTTTAGCTGATTTCAACAACGATACTTACTTAGATATTGCTGTTACCAATTATAATACTCACAATATAGGTATATTTCTCAATTACAATAATGGATCTTTTCGGAATCAAATAACATTCTCTACTGGTGTTTCTCGTCCAGTATCGATCGCTACTGGTGACTTAAATAACGATCAGTGCTTAGATATTGTTGTAGCTAATAATGGTACTAATGATATAAGTTTATATTTCGGNTTCAACAACGATACTTACTTAGATATTGCTGTTACCAATTATAATACTCACAATATAGGTATATTTCTCAATTACAATAATGGATCTTTTCGGAATCAAATAACATTCTCTACTGGTGTTTCTCGTCCAGTATCGATCGCTACTGGTGACTTAAATAACGACCAGTGCTTAGATATTGTTGTAGCTAATAATGGTACTAATGATATAAGTTTATATTTCGGATATGGAAATGGAACTTTTAGACATCACATAACATATGCTACTGGTTATGATTCATTTCCTTACTCTGTAGTCGTGGTTGATTTAAACAATGATCATTATTTAGATATTGTCATAGCTAACTATGGTACTGATAACATAGGCATATTTCTTGGCTATGGAGATGGTAATTTTACCACGCAAATAACTTACTCAACCGGTCCACGATCTAATCCTTATTCAATCGCTATTCATGACGTTAACAATGACAAATATTTAGATATTGTTGTGGGCAATTCTGGAACGAACAATGTTGGTGTATTCCTTGGTTATGGAAATGGAAGTTTCGCATTACAAACATCGTATTCGATATATCCATCATTTTCTCCACATATGATTATTGTTGGCGATTTCGATGAAGATACACAATTGGATATCGCTGTTTCGAATTATATAGACAGTATAGCTGTGCTTAAGGGATATGGAAATGGAAATTTTTCCATACCTACAATACACTCAACTGGCAATAACTCAGGCCCATTTGGAATGGCTGCTGGTGATTTCAACAATGACAATCAAACGAATATAGCTATTGCTAATTTTCTTGTAAATAATATACTTATACTTATCGGATATGGGATGATACCAGCAACAAGTCCAAAAACATATTCAACTGGAAATAATTCACTTCCTGTTCAAATCGTTAGTGGAGATTTTAATAATGACACTTATCTCGATCTGGTAACTGTCAACTCGGGTACTAGCAGTATCAGTATACTTCTTGGATATGGAAATGGAAGTTTTCACGAATATGTATCATATTCTGGTGGATATCGTGGCACTCCGTATGCTCTTACCACCAGTGATATAGATAACGATGGGCGACTAGATATTCTTGTTGGTAATTCAAAATACGAAACGCTTGGAATTCTATATGGATATGGCAATGGAACTTTTGAGACAGTAGTCGCATTATTTACTGGAGATTTATCAGCGCTTAGGTGTGTTCTTGTGGAGAATTTCAATAATGATGATTATCTTGACATTGCTGTTGCCGATTATGGTAGTAGTCATATAAGTATTTTTCTAGCCTATGGAAATCGAACTTTCGGAAATGTAACCAGATATTCATCCGTAGATGCTTCGCGTACATTTAGTCTAGCTTGTGGAGATCTCAATCATGATGGATATAAAGATATTGCTGCTGCAAATTACGCTAGTGATAATATAATTATTCGTTGGGGATCAATCGATGGTACATTTACATATTCAACTACTTATTCAACGGGAATAGGATCTGTTCCATATATGCTTACAGTTATTGATATAAATAACGATAATTACTTAGATATTATCGTCGTTAATTCTGGTACTAACAATATAGGTATATTTTTTGGATTCGCCAATGGTAGTTTCAGCACTCAACAAATACATCCAACAGGCTCATATTCTGCTCCATATTGGGTGTATGTTGCCGATTTTAATAATGATGATATTCTGGATCTTGCTGTTGCAAATTCTAATGCACAGAGTGTAGTTATATTGCTTGCAAATGAACAAGGAAATTTTGGTAGTCAAACAACGTGTTCAACTGGTATCAATTCACAACCATGTGCAATTCTTGCTGGTGATTTTAATAAAGATAATATATTAGATATTGCGGTAGCTAATTTTGGCACTAGTGATGTNTATGTTGCCGATTTTAATAATGATGATATTCTGGATCTTGCTGTTGCAAATTCTAATGCACAGAGTGTAATTATATTGCTTGCAAATGAACAAGGAAATTTTGGTAGTCAAACAACGTGTTCAACTGGTATCAATTCACAACCATGTGCAATTCTTGCTGGTGATTTTAATAAAGATAATATATTAGATATTGCGGTAGCTAATTTTGGCACTAGTGATGTTGGTATATTACTTGGGCATCCTACTAAATATTCCACGAATTCTACATTTACAAATGGGATCACTAATCCCGTGCCTATATTATTAGGAGACTATTACGTGGGTTTTCGCAATCAAAAGATCTATTTAACTGGCTCTAGTTCTCAACCATATGCGATTGACATTGGTTATTTTAATAATGATACCCAAATCGATATGATCGTTGCTAATTCAGGAAATCAAAATGTTGGACTATTGCTTGGATATGGTAACGGAAGTTTTGCCACTGAAATAGTCTATCCAATTGGTACTGGTTCCAATCCAGAAGTTGTTATTGTTGAGGATTTCAATAAAGATAATCGATCGGATGTTGCTATTACCAATTCAAATGATGACAGTATTATTATACTTTTAGGCAATGACAATGTCAATTTCACAAAACTAACATATTCTACTGGTCAGGCATCGAATCCAAGCGCTTTTGCAACTAGTGATTTGAATGAAGATGCATATATCGATCTTATTGTTGCAAATCAAGGAACCGATTCCATCGGTATATTCTTTGGGTTTGATTACATATCTTTTACAAAACAAAAACCATATGAAACTGGAGATGCTACAGGTCCATATGCGATAGTCGTTCATGATTTCAACAATGATGATTACTTAGATATTATGTGTGGACTTTATAATACGAATAATGTCGGTGTTTTTCTAGGATATGGTAACGGTACTTTTGGACCAATGACAACATATGGATACGTACCTGCTGGACGTCCTTGGTCAATTGCTGTTGGTGATTTGAATAGAGACGGTCAATTAGATGTTGCAGTAGCAAATTGGGGTGCTAATTGTGTTAGTGTCATGTTTGGATATGGAAATGGAAGTTTTGCAGAGCCTGTCTTGTATTCAACTGGTAGTCGACCATTATCAGTTGCCATAGGTGATTTTAACAATGATAAATATCTGGATATTACCGTGGCAAACTATGGTTCAAATAATATCGATGTACTTTTTGGAAATGAAAATGGAACATTTCGAAAATTAACAACACTTTCAACCGGGGCAGGTTCTCGTCCGTATTCGGTTAATATTGTCGATATCAATAATGATACTCAATTAGATATAATAAGCGCTTGTGGAGGACTTGATAGTGTTAGTGTGTTTCTTGGATACGGTAATGGTAGTTTTACAGAACAAATAACTTCTTTTGTTGGTCTTGGTTCTTATCCATGGTATGCCGTCACTGGTGACTTCAACAAAGATGGACAATTAGATGTTGCTAGCGCAAACTACGGTAGAGGTGATATCGGTGTAGCCTATGGATACGGGAATGGTAGTTTTGGAAATTTGCAAACATATTCCACAGGTATTGGCTCTAATCCAACACATGTGCAGATCAGTGACTTTAATAGTGATAGTTGGTTGGATATTATTACTACTGATGAAAATAGGAATAGTGTAGGCATCTTCTATGGTTATAGTGATGGAACATTTGCCAGTATGTCGATAGTACCCAATGAAGAACTTTCTCGTGTATATGGTGTTGCAATTGGTGATTTTAACAACGATAAAAAGTTGGATTTCACTATCACAAATAATGCTAATCAAGATATGATCGTATTTCTTGCATCGGGTGCTGAGCCTTTTGGAGGACAAACAACATTCGCCGTTGGTGAAGGCTCTCATCCTTCTTCGGTAGTGATTGGTCATTTTAACAATGACAGTCAACTCGATATTGCTTTAACCAATTCTGGGACCAACAGTATAGGTGTAATGCTTGGATATGGTAACAGAATGTTTTCAAATGTTAAAATATATCCGATTGATAATTTTTACCCATTGTCATTAGCTATCGGCGATTTTAATGATGATTCTGTGACAGATATTGTCGTTGTCAATCCAGACAATGATAATATTGTCATACTTATTGGATATGGTGATGGAAGTTTTTTTACTTTGATAACTTATTCGACGGGGCCTAGTTCTCATCCAATATCAGTCGCTGTAGGTGACTTTAATAGAGATGAACAACTAGATCTTGTAGTGGCAAATTTTGGTACAAACAATGTATGTATACTCAATGGTTTAGGTAATGGAACTTTTACTAATCAAACGTGGTTTCCAATGGAATATGATTCTCGACCACGATGGATTGTCTTTAAGGATTTGAATGATGATAGTTGGAGTGATATAATCGTCACAACCTATGGTACAAACAATATAAAAGTTCTTTTGAATCTCTGTTAATATTGTGTCAATATTGATGTTATTTATTTGTTCTATTATTATTCGTGAGGATGAGGCTGTCATTTTTCTACTCCCTTCTTATCAATACCTGTCCACACCCACACCCTGAAATAGTGACGTATATTTGACACAAGAGGTTAATCTATGCTAAATATGATCTTCTGACAGCCGGGATGAATTCAATAAACGTTTTCGAAACCAAATTTAGCATAAGAGGATCGGTGACGATAGATCTCACTGTGCCCGCTGAGAAGTCACCTCAACGGAATGTAAGCAAGCTAATTAGCTTCATTCAGTTATGAAGGCATTGAAGACAACACAGTTTCTGACCTAGTATTCTAGTTTGTGTATGCCAAAGGCGATCAAATAGAAGAAGAGTATGTGAAAATCTATACCACGTTGTAGAACAAGTTTTGCTCTATCATCCCCTATGTGTCTCCTGTTCTGAGAATTGCAAGAACTGCATTTTTATTAGTGAAAATCGAGAGCAATTTTAAGGGGTGTTTGTAAAGATTTATGAGCTCATGCTTTTTCTAAAAGAGCTATAGAATCTCAAGCAACATTGCCCCAGATAGTACAAATGAAACTGGAAAAAAATAGCCTATTCAAAGAAATTCAAAATAAAAAATATATGGAAAATAATACGTAAGAAAAAAAGTTTCAAAAACCACTATCCATGTTTTGTACAAAAAAAGCTTGAAAAGTTGACTTTTGAGAAACTAGGATGCCGCCATATTTTGCGAAATCTAAATCGGCCAAAATGATTGTCTCATTGAGCTCTGCAAACCCTGAAATTTTCGCGTTCAAAAGAAATGCTTCTGTGTAACGTGGTAGAAACCTCGTGGAAACACCCATATCAAAATAGAATCTCTCTACGATATTTTTGTAAAAAGAACGAAAATTGATATCGAAGAATGTATCAAATTCATTTGACTTTCATTAGAGAAGTCCTGACGATATCTTATTAAAGAATATTGTCTTAGACAAGTTTTAATAAAAAACAAATCGCAATACAAATTGAAAACATTAGTTTCACTCCAATACGGAATCTTTCTTCCGAAAAGAATACAAATCAAAAATTCATTCATAGAATTTGTATAACTGAGTACCCGAGAAATAGTACAGCTAAGATCAGAAACGTTTTTGTCGACTTAATGGAAGTTCCAGATTGAGTACATGAAGATGAACTGTACCAAATAAAAGGAATTGAATTCATAATATCAACGAATAACTGAAATAGAAATTTCATAGGCAAAATTAAGCTTTCGTCTATTCACTCCTCACCCTCACCCTCCTACTTCAGAAAGAAACAAAAGAAAATGCTTTTCTATATAGTTTCTCGCTAAAATAAAGCGTATAGCCCATAATCAATAGGAGAACACTCTGTTTGAAAAGATACCAACTACTATGATGACAGAACGAAAGAAGTGACTAGTATGATTACAACTACTCTTTTCTTTCATCTCTGTTAAAATGTAACGAGCATGACGTTAACAAGTTTTTCTTTCTATTCTATATGATGACACAACATTTTAATCTATAGAAATACCTCTGCATTTATTCATTCTTTCGTTACATAGTCGATCAAAATGACGGGTAGAGACGACGCAGTACCAGCAGAAAAGTTTTTTCGCTTCTCAGAAAATGGTAATGGTCCATGGGAAATCCATCGACCACAATCAGTAATCATGAGTCTTGTTGAAAAAGGTCGTTTCAGTGGTGAAGTGCTCGACATCGGCTGCGGTATTGCTGACAACGCAATCTATATTGCCAAACATGCAAATAATGTTCATGTCACAGGGTTTGATTTGGTAAATTCACTTTCGTTGTTTTTATTTTCTCTTCATTAATCGTTGTGTTTCAGGTTCCAAAGTCCATTCAGATTGCTCGTGAAAAAGCCGAAAAGAATCAAGTAAACATTCGATTTGAAGTTGTAAACATTCTTGATGATCTCTCAAAAATCAGTACCATCAAACAACATTCATACGATNATTGCTTGCAAATGAACAAGGAAATTTTGGTAGTCAAACAACGTGTTCAACTGGTATCAATTCACAACCATGTGCAATTCTTGCTGGTGATTTTAATAAAGATAATATATTAGATATTGCGGTAGCTAATTTTGGCACTAGTGATGTCGGTATATTACTTGGGCATTCTACTAAATATTCCACGAATTCTACATTTACAAATGGGATCACTAATCCCGTGCCTATATTATTAGGAGACTATTATGTGGGTTTTCGCAATCAAACGATCTATTTAACTGGCTCTAGTTCTCAACCATATGCGATTGACATTGGTTATTTTAATAATGATACCCAAATCGATATGATTGTTGCTAATTCAGGAAATCAAAATGTTGGACTATTGCTTGGATATGGTAACGGAAGTTTTGCCACTGAAATAATCTATCCAACTGGTACTGGTTCCAATCCAGAAGTTGTTATTGTTGAGGATTTCAATAAAGATAGTCGATCGGATGTTGCTATTACCAATTCAAATGATGACAGCATTATTATATTTTTAGGCAATGACCATGTCAATTTTACAAAACTAACATATTCTACTGGTCAGGCATCGAATCCAAGCGCTTTTGCAACTAGTGATTTGAATAAAGACGCATATATCGATCTTATTGTTGCAAATCAAGGAACAGATTCCATCGGTATATTCTTTGGATTTGATTACATATCTTTTACAAAACAAAAGCCATATGAAACTGGAGATGCTACTGGTCCATATGCGATAGGCGTTCATGATTTCAATAATGATAATTACTTAGATATTATGTGTGGACTTTATAATACGAATAATGTCGGCGTTTTTCTAGGATACGGTAACGGTACTTTTGGATCAATGACAACATATGGATTCGTACCTGCTGGACGTCCTTGGTCAATTGCTGTTGGTGATTTGAATAGAGACGGTCAATTAGATGTTGCAGTAGCAAATTGGGGCGCTAATTGTGTCAGTGTCATGTTTGGATATGGAAATGGAAGTTTTGCAGAGCCTGTCTTGTATTCAACTGGTAGTCGACCATTATCAGTTGCCATAGGTGATTTTAACAATGATAAATATCTGGATATTACCGTGGCAAACTATGGTTCAAATAATATAGATGTACTTTTTGGAAATGAAAATGGAACATTTCGAAAATTAACAACACTTTCAACCGGGGCAGGTTCTCGTCCGTATTCGGTTAATATTGTCGATATCAATAATGATACTCAATTAGATATAATAAGCGCTTGTGGAGGAATTGATAGTGTTAGTGTATTTCTTGGATACGGTAATGGCAGTTTTACAGAACAAATAACTTCTTTTGTTGGTCTTGGTTCTTATCCATGGTATGTCATCACTGGTGACTTCAACAAAGATGGACAATTAGATGTTGCTAGCGCAAACTACGGTAGAGGTGATATCGGTGTAGCCTATGGATACGGGAATGGTAGTTTTGGAAATTTGCGGACATATTCCACAGGTATTGGCTCTAATCCAACACATGTCCAGATCGGTGACTTTAATGGTGATAGTTGGTTGGATATTATTACTACTGATGAAAATAGGAATAGTGTAGGCATCTTCTATGGTTATAGTGATGGAACATTTGCCAGTATGTCGATAATACCCAATGAAGAACTTTCTCGTGTATATGGTGTTGCAATGGGTGATTTTAACAACGATGAAAAGTTGGATTTCACTATCACAAATAATGCTAATCAAGATATGATCGTATTTCTTGCATCTGGTGCTGAGCCTTTTGGAGGTCAAACAACATTCGCCGTTGGTGAAGGCTCTCATCCTTCTTCGGTAGTGATTGGTCATTTTAACAATGACAGTCAACTCGATATTGCTATCGCCAATTCTGGTACCAACAGTATAGGTGTAATGCTTGGATATGGTAACAGAATGTTTTCAAATGTTAAAACATATCCGATTGATAATTTTTATCCGTTGTCATTAGCTATCGGCGATTTTAATAACGATTCTGTTACAGATATTGTCGTTGTCAATTCAGAAAGTGATAATATTGTCATACTTATTGGATATGGTGATGGAAGTTTTTTTACTTTAATAACTTATTCGATGGGGACTAGTTCTTATCCAGTATCAGTCGCTGTGGGTGACTTTAATAGAGATGAACAACTCGATCTTGTAGTGGCAAATTTTGGTACAAATAATGTATGTATACTCAATGGTTTAGGTAATGGAACATTTATTAATCAAACGTGGTTTCCAATAGAATATGACTCTCGACCACGATGGATTGTCTTTAAGGATTTGAATGATGATAGTTGGAGCGATATAATCGTCACAACTTATGGTACAAATAATATAAAAGTTCTTTTGAATCTCTGTTAATATTGTGTCAATATTGATGTTATTTATTTGTTCTATTATTATTCGTGAGGATGAGGCTGTCGTTTTTCTACTCCCTTCTTATCAATATCTGTCCACACCCACACACATGAAATATATCATTTATGAATAATAGATATGCACGCAAATATTTATTCAAGTAATCAATTGGTTAGGTGATAATTTTTACATACTAAGCTTCCTTATTCTATGCTTTCTCGAATTCTATTAGAAGTACAAGCATGTTCTAAATATTCGTTTGAAATAGTAAGGTATATTTGACACAAGAGGTTGATCTATGCTAAATATGATCTTCTGACGGCCGGGATGAATTCAATAAACGTTTTTGAAACCAAATTTAGCATAAGAGGATCGGTGACGATAGATCTCACTGTGCCCGCTGAGAAGTCACCTCAACGGAATGTAAGCAAGCTAATTAGCGCCATTCAGTTATACAGGCATTGAAGACAACAAAGTTTCTGACCTAGTATTCTAGTTTGTGTATGCCAAAGGTGATCAAATAGAAGAAGAGTATGTGAAAATCTATACCACGTTGTAGAACAAGTTTTGCTCTATCATCCCCTATGTGTCTCCTGTTCTGGGAATTTCAAAAACTGCATTTTTATTAGTGAAAATCGAGAGCAATTTTAAGGGGTGTTTGTAAAGATTTATGAGCTCATGCTTTTTCTAAAAGAGCTATAGAATCTGAAGCAACACTGCCCCCAGATAGTACAAATGAAACTGAATAAGAATAGCCTATTTAAAGAAATTTAAAATAAAAAATACATGGAAAATAATAGGCAAGAAAGAAAAGTTTCAAAAACCACTATGCATGTTTTGTACGAAAAAAGCTTGAAAAGTTGACTTTTGAGAAACTAGGATGCCGCAATATTTTGCGAAATCTAAATCGGCCAAAATGATCGTCTCATTGAGCTCTATAAACCCTGAAATTTTCGCGTTCAAAGGAAATGCTTCTGTGTAACGTGGTAGAAACCCCGTGGAAACACCCATATCAAAATAGAATCTCTCTACGATATTTTTGTAAAAAGAACGAAAATTGATATCGAAAAATGTGTCAAATTCGTTTGACTTTCATTAGAGAAGTCCTGACGATATCTTATTGAAAAATATTGTCTTAGACAAGTTTTAATAAGAACAAATCGCAATGCAAATTGAAAACATTAGCTTCATTCCAATACGGAATCTTTCTTCCGAAAAGAATACAAATAAAAAATTCATTCATAGAATTTGTATAACTGAGTACTCGAGAAATAGTTTAGATAAGATCAGAAATGTTTTGTCAGCTTAATGAAAGTTCAAGATTGAGTACATGAAGATGAACTGTACCAAATAANTCTTAGACAAGTTTTAATAAGAACAAATCGCAATGCAAATTGAAAACATTAGCTTCATTCCAATACGGAATCTTTCTTCCGAAAAGAATACAAATAAAAAATTCATTCATAGAATTTGTATAACTGAGTACTCGAGAAATAGTTTAGATAAGATCAGAAATGTTTTGTCAGCTTAATGAAAGTTCAAGATTGAGTACATGAAGATGAACTGTACCAAATAAAAGGAATTGAATTTATAATACCAACGAATAATTGAAATAGAAATCTCACAGGCAAAATTAAACTTTCGTCTGTTCACTCCTCACCCTCACCCTCCTACTTCAGAAAGAAACAAAAGAAAATGCTTTTCTATATAGTTTCTCGCTAAGATAAAGCGTATAGCCCACAATCATCGACGTCCCTGAAGTTCATTGCTTCTGAATGCTTGACTTGACGTACAACTTTCGCTCGTCATTACGATTTGATTACTTCTCGACTTAATGAGCAGAGTATTCATTTGTTGGTTTTCTTCTATACCTGTTTCAAAAGATACCAACTACTATGATGACAGAACGAAAGAAGTGACTAGTATGATTACAACTACTCTTTTCTTTCATTTCTGATAAAATTTAACGAGTATGACGTTAGCAAATTTTTCTTTCTATTCTATATGATGATACAACATTTTAATCTATAGAAATACCTCCGCATTTATTCATTTTTTCGTTATATAATCGATCAAAATGACGGGTAGAGACGACGCAGTACCTGCAGAAAAGTTTTTTCGCTTCTCAGAAAATGGTAATGGTCCATGGGAAATCCATCGACCACAATCAGTAATCATGAGTCTTGTTGAAAAAGATCGTTTCAGTGGTGAAGTGCTCGACATTGGCTGCGGTATTGCTGACAACACAATCTATATTGCCAAACATGCAAATAATGTTCATGTCACAGGGTTTGATTTAGTAAATTCACTTTCGTTGTTTTTGTTTTCTCTTCATTAATCGTTGTGTTTCAGGTTCCAAAGTCCATTCAGATTGCTCGTGAAAAAGCCGAAAAGAATCAAGTAAACATTCGATTTGAAGTTGTAAACATTCTTGATGATCTCTCAAAAATCAGTACCATCAAACAACATTCATACGATACTGTTCTTGATGCAGCTGTTTTTCATTGTTTTTCCAATGAAGATCGACAACTTTACATGAAAAATCTCGAATATTTGATCAAACCTGGTGGTTTATATATTCAATTGTGTGCTAGTGAAAAGGAAACATATGATAAAGGACCACGTCGTTTGAAAAAGGCCGATTTAAATGAACTATTTTCATCGAAGAATGGTTGGACAATTGAATCAATCGACGATTCAGTTTATGAATACATACCTGATGCTCCAACGGGACAGAGAGCCGAAGCTTATCTTTCACTATTTCGACGAGATAATAACATTTGATAAATAGATTATTCTATAGAAAACTACAACTGTTAGTTTTATAATAAATNACTTTACATGAAAAATCTCGAATATTTGATCAAACCTGGTGGTTTATATATTCAATTGTGTGCCAGTGAAAAGGAAACATATGATAAAGGACCACGTCGTTTGAAAAAGGCTGATTTATGTGAACTGTTTTCATCGAAGAATGGTTGGACGATTGAATCAATCGACGATTCAGTTTATGAATACATACCTGATGCTCCAACGGGAGAAAGAGCCGAAGCTTATCTTTCATTATTTCGACGAGATAATAAGATTTGATAAATAGATTATTCTATAGAAAACTACAACTGTTAGTTTTATAATAAATACTTGACACTATTAGTAAGAAACTCGAGACATTGATGTGCATCATTGACTGTGTTTAGTGTTGGTAAAAGAGTTTTTAAATTATTAAAAACATTATTTGATTGTCAATCAAAATTGAAATCAAATAACGACGATGACGTTTCTTTTCGTTCGATATTATTGTTCCAGTTGAAGATTGTAAAGAAACTTCTTCGTTCATCAAATCAGTACGTGCAGTAGACTTTTCCATGTACATAAATAAATTGAGAAAAAAATAGAACAAAATTCAGTGACAAACCATAGTTGAGGTGGTTATATGAATAACTTCAGTACAAGGGTGCTGGCAAAGACCATAAGAGAAGGCGTTGAGGGAATAGGTTCAGTGTGCTTTACAAGGGCGATGACTGAAGCTTATTCAAGGCGTCCTTTTTGTAAGCCAAAGACGACAAGACCTCGTGAAACGACGTCAGCTCCTGTAGTCCGGTTGATACATCCGCTTCTATTCTATTGTAAACAATGTCTCTCCACAAAATGACGAGTGCCATACTCACATGTGGGAAGAGACACTCGATAAACTCAAAAGGTATGATAAGATATTGATGAAACGTAACGAAACAGAAGGTTGCTTCTAGTTAAGATCTATATTATCAATGATAAGACTACAGCTAGCAAATACTTGATAAGAGAGGAGAAAATGATCAATATATCTCAAGCTGAGAGCAAAAAACCTTGCATTTATTAGTTCTGATTTTGATACGGTAAGGATTTATTCAAATAATTTTTGTCTTACGCAATAGTTGTGTCAAGTCACTATTGTATAAACTAGGACTATAATAATAGTAAAGTGTTGACTGTCCAAAATACTTAGAGATATATAAATTCCCTTGATCCTACCAGCTATGTAACAAAAGCTGTGAAAATCAGATTTTATATGAGAAATCGATTTTCACAGCTTTTTTGATGTGGTTAAGAGCACGTTGTCTAATCCTCAAGAAAATGCCAGCGTAGTTCTATCAGAAGAGGATGAATATGCTTACTTTGTTTTTTTTTCACGTGGGACATCATACCCGATATGCACATGAGAGTCAGTTATTTATATGTAGAATGCTTTTTACAGGAGCAAGTTTGCATGGAGGACATCTCTAGAATAATGAAAACAATTGTACAATGCGCATTTAATCAATCGAAAAATTTGTCAAACGTTTAAATCGAACTGGCATCATTCTACTTCTACCAGTACATACTCGTAATCCTATTCGCTCATTTCATCAATCTTATATGATCATTGATTCATACGATACTGAACAGCTATGTCAGTTTTCCATGGGTCGTACAATGCTTGAAGACATTGTTTTTTCTATAGAGTGATAGAGAAACAAAGCTCCATGTTTCATCACTATTTGATCATCATTTATCTAATATAATAATATAAAATTTCGATAAGAACTGTTTTTTGTAAAACTTGTCAGGTGAAGCAGCATCGGCTGTACACAGTTGTAACCTGATCACTTACGTTGAAAAACGGTGTGTCTATTTACGATGATAGTTTTCAACGAACTCATATGATGCCTTCCAACCTATTATGATCATCGTAAATAGTAATCGCAATAACACGATGACCGTTTCTAGCAATTGTATACAATGGCTCGCAGCTTTGGATGTCAACAATATTCCAAACACCTCGTAAAGTATCGATTACGTCAACCGTAAACGACATAGTAGCCTCTCCAGGATCAAGACTCCTAGACTCGGATCTAAGTGTCAGATTAACTACGGCATTGCCATGTTTCAAAAACTTCCTTGCTGTTACGATTTCGTTTATTTTCAAATGAATTTTGCATATAATTGCAATCAAAGGTTTTGTACAACAGCAAGACACATTAGTAATGTTCGTCATTCATAGCAACTTTTACAGACTTTACTCTTCGCATGGTTTGGTAGCTACCACTTCCTGTTTCTATCTAGTATTCATGCAAATCGACTTTATTAGACCCATTATGTAGCACGGTTACGACAGGGATCTTCTGAAAACGAAGAGCGTCTTTAAATAAATCGTGGTATGAGTAGAAAAAGGGTATCTTAACTTCTTCAACTGTGTAATCAAGACAAACCGACACGGCCAATGATAAGAACATAGAGCAGATGACGCGTTTTTTCACTTTCGTCATTAAAGAATGTCTTTATTTTCAATCGAAAATGAATTTTTTTAATCAAGTTCCGTATGGATCCTACGTACATCAATATTTTCTTTGGGAAAAAATCATCTCTAGTGATGATTTACAGTCACCGAAAACTCGTTTTCTGATCTTACACAGAAAGAAGGAAAGTTCGAATTTTCATCACGTGATTCGCATTTTTGAATAAAATATTCGATCGACTAACAAATTATCTATGACAAGAACTATGCTTGTTTGTATAAAGTAGATGCACACACGTGAATTATCATTTTCTTTCGTACTGATGTCGTCTACGAACAAGTTAACACTCGACGACGTTTTGTATCATAGCGAAGGAAGTGTTTACATCATACGAATTATTTTCAATGATATCGTTCTGTTTTAGAGCTTTTATAATTATTTTCTTGGAAAAGTACTGATCATTCCACTAGGTATGCGCGTTGTCCTACATTTGTTAAATGTGATTGTTTATGTTCGTCATATAATAATTGAAGTGAAAAACCTCATTGTTGGACAAACGGGTCTGGCAGTAAACAATTTCGAAAGAATGAAACGACTCAGTAAATTCAATGCCCATCATCGTAAACTGTTTTTTACTAAGCTCATTCTTATCGTATTGAACTCTGCTTTGCTTGACGCAAGAATGATCGATTTTTGAAGTTTATTGACTATAAAATGACTCATTGGTTGATTGAACAAGTTTTTTCATACAAAAATATATGATTGCTCATTAATCAAAGACTTCTTTTATGGAAATACGCGTCTTTTGTTTCGATTCGAAACGTCTTTACAGTCAAGCACAGAATAAGAGCACGGAAATGTATAACGATGAGAAAGATCGTCTTCACATTTATGGAATGAGACTTCGATTTCCAAGGACAATATTCTTTAGATAAGATTTTATTGAATAATTCTTTGATATGATTAGAAAACGTAATGAGATGCAAATTCAGAAGAATCGAAGTTGATATTCAGTTATCTCGTTGATCAAGGATAATNTAAAGGACCACGTCGTTTGAAAAAGGCCGATTTAAATGAACTATTTTCATCGAAGAATGGTTGGACAATTGAATCAATCGACGATTCAGTTTATGAATACATACCTGATGCTCCAACGGGAGAGAGAGCCGAAGCTTATCTTTCACTATTTCGACGAGATAATAACATTTGATAAATAGATTATTCTATAGAAAACTACAACTGTTAGTTTTATAATAAATACTTGACACTATTAGTAAGAAACTCGAGACATTGATGTGCATCATTGAATGTGTTTAGTGTTGGTAAAAGAGTTTTTAAATTATTAAGAACATTATTTGATTGTCAATCAAAATTGAAATCAAATAACGACGATGACGTTTCTTTTCGTTCGATATTATTGTTCCAGTTGAAGATTGTGAAGAAACTTCTCCGTTCATCAGATCGGTACGTGCAGTAGACTCTTCCATGTTCATAAACAAATTGAGAAAAAAATAGAACAAAATTCAGTGACAAACCATAGTTGAGGTGGTTATATGAATAACTTCAGTACAAGGGTGCTGGCAAAGACCATAACAGAACGTGTTAAGGGAATAGGTTCAGTGTGCTTTATAAGGGCGATGACTGAAGCTTATTCAAGGCGCCCTTTTGCAAGCCAAAGACGACAAGAGCTCGTGAAACGACGTCAGCTCCTGTAGTCCGATTGATACACCCGCTTCTATTCTATTGTGAACAATGTCTCTCCACAAAATGACGAGTGCCATACTCACACGCGGGAAGAGACACTCGATAAACTCAAAAGGTATGCTAAGGTATTGATGAAAAGTAACGAAACAGAAGGTTGCTTCTAGTTAAGATCTATATTATCGCAATGACAAGACTACAGCTAGCAAATAATTGATAAGAGAGGAGAAAATGATCAATATATCTCAAGCTGATAGCAAAAAACCTTGCATTTATTAGTTCTGATTTTGATACGGTAAGGATTTATTCAAATAATTTTTGTCTTGCGAAATAGTTGTGTCAAGTCACTATTGTATAAACTAGGACTATAATAATAGTAAAGTGTTGACTGTCCAAAATACTTAGAGATGTATAAATTCCCTTGATCCTACTAGCTATGTAACAAAAGCTGTAAAAATCGGATTTTATATGAGAAATCGATTTTCACAGCTTTTTTAATGTGGTTAAGAGCACGTTGTCTAATCCTCAAGAAAATGACGGCAAAGAAGCAAGAGAGTGCCAGCGTAGTTCCATCAGAAAAGGATGAATATGTTTGCTTTGTTTTTTTTTCCACATCGGACATCATACCCGATATGCACATGAGGGTCAGTTATTTATATGTAGAGCGCTTTTTACAGGAGCATGTTTGCATGGAGGACATCTCTAGAATAAAGAAAACAATTGTACAATGCGCATTTAATCGATCGAAAAATTTGTCAAACGTTTAAATCGAACTGGCATCATTCTACTTCTACCAGTACATACTCGTAATTCTATTCCCTCATTTCATCAATCTTATATGATCATTGATTCATACGATACTGAACAGCTATGTCAGTTTTCCATGAGTCGTACAATGCTTGAAGACATTGTTTTTTTCTATAGACTGATAGAGAAACAAATCTCCACGTTTCAACACTATTTGATCATCATTTATCTAATATAATAATATAAAATTTTGATAAGAACTGTTTTATGTAAAACTTGTCAGGTGAAGCAACATCGGCTGTACACATTTGTAACCTGATCACTTACGTTGAAAAACGGTGTGTCTATTTACGATGATAGTTTTCAACGAACTCATATGATGCCTTCCAACCTATTATGATCATCGTAAATAGTAATCGCAACAACACGATGACCGTTTCTAGCAATTGTATACAATGGCTCACACCGTTGATGACTATCGAAAATAATACTGGCGAGAACAACTGATTTATGATTGTCGTGACGGTACGTTGGACGTCAACAATATTCCAAACACCTCGTAAAGTATCGATTACGTCAACCGTAAACGACATAGTAACCTCTCCACGATTAAGACTCCTAGACTCGGATCTAAGTGTCAGATTAACTACGGCATTGCCATGTTTCAAAAACTTCCTTGCTATTACGATTTCGTTTATTTTCAAATGAATTTTGCATAAATGGCAATCAAAGGTTTTGTACAATAGCAAGAAACAAATATTCGAAAGGTAACTTTTTCACATGAGACAACTCGTCCAAAAAGTGAAAGCCGTACTCTAGAGACTTCAGTAGATAAACACGGTTTTTTTATGCAGTTTGACTGGGAAGTAACGAAATAGAAGGTCGTGTTGCTATACTTCTACTTCTCCGTACTTGTTGACACACATTAGCAATGTTCGTCGTTCATAGCAACTTTTACAGACTTTACTCTTCGCATGGTTTGGTAGCTACCACTTCCTGTTTCTATCTAGTATTCATGCAAATCGACTTTATTAGACCCATTATGTGGCACGGTTACGAAAGGGATATTCTGAAAACGAAGAGCGTCTTTAAATAAATCGTGGTATGAGTAGAAAAAGGGTATCTTAACTTCTTCAACTGTATAATCAAGACAAACCGACATGGCCAATGATAAGAACATAGAGCAGATGACGTGTTCACTTTCGTCATTAAAGAATGTCTTTATTTTCAATCAAAGATGAATTTTTTTAATCAAGTTCCGTATGGATCCTACGTACATCAATATTTTCTTTGGGAAAAATTCATTTCTAGTGATGATTCACAGTCACCGAAAACTCGTTTTCTGATCTTACGCAGAGAAAGAAACAAGGCAGAAAGAAGGAAAGTTCAAATTTTCATCACGTGATTCGCATTTTTGAATAAAATATTCGATCGACTAACAAATTATCTATGACAAGAACTATGCTTGTTTGTATAAAGTAGATGCGGACGATCTTCTTCTTTTCTCTTTAGTGTTTTTCTTGTATATATACAGATGCACACACGTGAATTATCATTTTCTTTCGTACTGATGTCGTCTATGAACAAGTTAACACTCGACGACGTTTTGTATCATAGCGAAGTAAGTGTTTACATCATACGAATTATTTTCAATGATATCGTTTTGTTTTAGATCTTTTATAATTATTTTCTTGGAAAAGTACTGATCGTTCCACTAGGTATGCGCGTTGTCCTACATTTGTTAAATTTGATCGTTATTTTATGGACGGTTTATGTTCGTCATATAATAATTGAAATGAAAAACCTCATTGTTGGACAAACGGGTCTGGAAGTAAACAATTTCGAAAGAATGAAACGACTCAGTAAATTCAATGCCCATCATCGTAAACTACTTTTTACTGTGCTCATTCTCGTCGTATTGAACTCTGCTTTACTTGACGCAACAATGATCGATTTTTGAAGTTTATTGACTATAAAATGACTCATTGGTTGATTGAACAAGTTTTTTCATACAAAAAGTATATGATTGCTCATTAATCAAAGACTTCTTTTATGTAAATACGCGTCTTTTGTTTCGATTCGAAACGTCTTTACAGTCAAGCACAGAATAAGAGCACGGAAATGTATAATGATGAGAAAGATCGTCTTCACATTTATGGAATGAGACTTCGATTTCCAAGGACAATATTCTTTAGATAAGATTTGATTGAATAATTCTTTGATATGATTAGAAAACGTAATGAGATGCAAATTCAGAAGAATCGAAGTTGATATTCAGTTATCTCGTTGATCAAGGATAATATTGAGATATTAAACGCATCGTTCGGTCGTCCGTCAATGATTTTATTTTTCTAATAGATGAACTTCTCTCGTTTTCGATCTCTCATCTTCAAATATTGTTGTCATCGATAATCAAGAACAAAATTTCCTTAGTTATCTTTATTGTCAAAAATAGAAAAGATAAATAAGAAGTATCTGGAGAAATTGACAGATGAAGAATTTCACATTGATGATGAATTCAATATTTTTCCTTTTCGGCATCAATCAAACAATGTCAATGAAGAAGTTTACTCGTCGATTTCTCTTCTTTTCAATCGATTGAATTTTCCCAGAAGATGAGTTCACTTCTCGAATTGTACTGAGGTTATTCGTCGATAAGTTAATTGGCGACAAACTGTACATTTTCTCAATCGAATGACAACATAGGTCTCGTCTACACTACAAAAATGAATACTGAATTAAGAGATATGATTGGTCAACGCGATAACAGGGTGTTAAATCCCTCCGTCGAAGAAACAAAACATGCAGCGTCACTTTTCGTGACCATTCACCGTGTCCGCCGACAATACTTCTGAGTGAATGTTTCATTCGACTATCTGATCGTCTCCATCGACGATACGCACGATAATTGTGCTACGGATCTCTTGAGGCTTCTTTTCTAGATGAATCCTGTAACCGTTCGTCTGATGTTCATGCCCAACAAAAGTATCCAATTGTTTGTCCCATCGTAAAATATTCACTCAAAACCACCTAAACTGCCGGAAAATCATTGTTCAGTGATCCCTCCAGAAGCTTCAGCCTGTCAATCAACAACATCCAGTCAATGACTGTTGAAAGAGTCACTCTCTTCTAGTGTAGACTAAATCTTAGAAATGAATCTACTAGAAATTCAATTGTCTACTATCCTCAAATTGGAAATGATCATTTTCGGTCATGTTGTCGAATAATTGGTCGTTCTTTGTTTTTCATTGGTTCATCATCAATTATCATTGGAGAAGTGAATATATCCATAATAAAGAACAATCACACAATGAACGTTCATTTCGACGACGAAGAATTTCTATTTCAAATGTCCTGGAATGAATCGAACTCAATTATTTCCAATATCAATGAAGATATGAATTTGTTTCCACACTATTGTCGAGATCAAATTTCCACATGGTTATGGGTTTATTTTCTCTTTACATCGGCTTTTTACTTCCTGATCATTGTTGCGCCCATGTGCAGTTGCTTTGCTCTGGGACATTTGATCCTATTAATTGTCCGATGTTCTCTGGGACATACAACTGACTCATTTGAAAGAATCCATGAACAAGATGAAAGATTATTTCAATATCGACTGAAGAAAATTTTCATTTATGAAGGGAAATTGATTTTTTTCTATACAGTAATATCGTTGATCTTTGAATTAATCAGGGGAAATTCGATTCGATGGATATTAATGGCACGTTGGCTCATTGAAGCCTCGTTTTTTCCCACGATGATCATCGTAAAGATGTTTGATTCTTATACTTCTCCAGATCAAGAACATCTCCTAGATGCGGAACCAAGAAATACTTACATCATCGTCTATCTTAGTAAATCTATTCTATTTGTCATTATGCGTTACATTGAAATCTATCCGGATTCAACACTGAATTACAAACATATCTCAAATTTCTATTGGTTTTGTAAGACTTTTCGGTCGCAAGAAGTATTTGTTGATCGTCATTCTTCTATATAGTTGTTATTCATTGGCAACGATGTGGATTGTTTTCTGTATTAATATCATTTGAATAATAAACATGTCTTTTCATCGAACAGTTCAAATTATTGTTTATACTAGATTAAAGAACTACGATAGCCAAAGGAGAAGTCTGGAGCCAGGCACATACGTAGGAATTTTCTTGAGAGGGTGAGGCTATGACCCCTCTTAGCTCCCCCTCCCCCCTTTGGTATGTGCCTGTCTTTTGAGAAATGATCATTTCAGGATTCCGATTTCGTCAAATTTCTATATTGCTCTCGGTCTCTAACTCCAGTTTCAACAAGTACATAAATATTGTAGGAACGACTGTTTGGCTACATCGTTACAACTAGTTCATCGCGGCACAAAAAGAAAGAGATGGGGACAACTCATTGAGAAAACAAAAGAAATGGATGATCATATTTGATTGGACGTAGAAAAGTTAAATGTTAGTTAATTCTGATCCGAAGCAGAATCGTTTGCCACATGATGACTAAGAACATATCATATTTGCCGACGTAATGAGAAGAATAGTACGATCATGTTCGGCAGAAATTAGATGTAACACCGAATTGGTTATGATGTGATGGTTCGAATGATTCTAGATTGTTTTTCGTCATTGGTACATTGTATGTTATAGAACATTCAACTTGCCTGACTTTCGTAGTCGCTTTCTGTCTGGAGGTTGAGACAGGGGAAAGAACTAGCTTCGAAAGTGGTAGAGCTGAAGCTTCAGCACGTCATACTCATTCCATTCCAATAGGAAAAACAGGTATTACAATAAATCGTGGTGGACAAGGACAGCATTCGCATATTTTATTCGGCCTATCTGTCCGGATCAGTAGGAAAAGAATTCTGCTTACTTCCGCCGTTTCAAATGATTGATTTTATTATTTTATATCAATAGTTTTTATCAACAACTTCGTCCGCGTCTCATAAATTCCTTTTAACGAAAACGAATAGTGGAAAATGAATATCTAATTCATTTTTCATTATTTTGGACCATATAACAGATAATTATCACTTTCCATATAGAAAAATATTAATCTATAATAGATTTATTTTCATAAATGATATGAATCAAACAGCGATTTTGATTTTCTTTTTGTAAAATTGGATAAATTCAGAATTATTCATTCTATACACTATCTATGTTTCAACAGATCTTTGTTCCTTTGTGTTATTCGCAACTGTCTTGTCGTTCTATTACCAAACAATAATAACACATTCATCAACATCGTCAGAAAAGATAATATTTATTCCGAGAAAATCATTTTGTCTACATATTTATTATTATCCACATGATTTTCAATAAGGATAAAGACACCACAGTTCTTTTCTCTCTCAAAGAAGAAATATCATTTATACAGAATCAATTAAAAGAACTTCGATATGATTTGTATGAATAAAGATAAAATTGATAAGATATAACAAAACAATGTCGATATTTGAAATCAATGAGTTAAGAATTCGAACTTGATTTTTGTATCATTGAGAATAAATGAAACTCCACAGACATATGATCTTACTATTTCAAATGTGAACTGAATTTTCATTATCTCAGTCGAGAAATACAAGAAAAGATCAGAAGAATCAAATTTGTGACGTTTTATTTCTCAATTTTTTTTCCTGTTTGACAGAAAAAAGAAAAAGAGAAGATTAAATTTTATAAAATTTAAAATAACAACTTCTGACATCTTTAATTGAAATGAATTTGTTTTTATCAGCCCACGAAGGTTTATAATTTTTCATATTTGCACAAACATTTTCTAATCCTCCATTACAATCGATATTTCCTGATCCAATTGGAGATTTACATTTAAAACGTTCGTTTTCTTTTGGCATTAAATTTGGTGAATACCATCGATTTGCACCTTGTGTTGGATCACTGATTCTTCCTGCGTGAATATCTTGAGCAAGACGAGTTACAGATGCAATTGGAAATTTGTTTGAAGCGTGATTTGCATTTCTTTCACAAGCAAAACCCATCGCAATTTGTTCAGCACGATTACCTGTTGATGCTTCTGACATTATGCATCGTCCAAGAGCTGTTAAACCTAAATTTCCATTGATTGTTTTTATCAAAATCATCGTTAAAAGTAATCCAAATCGAAGTAACATCATTTTGTGCGTTTGTTTCACTAAAAAGATTTTCAAATGTAAATCTTATCGAAAGATTCGTCTTTTTATTTATCAGAGAAAGAAACAGATGTTGAAAATGTGATCCTTTCAATACAAATAAATGTTTCTTTTTCGCTTTTATTTCGTTTTAAAACGACGCAATTTAAAGTCAAACAGATGATTTTTTTGTTTTTACAGAAAATCAAGATCAAATCATTTATTCACTTCATATTCTCATTTGAACAGACAAATCTTTATTTTCTATCGATGATAAACACAACATTGAAAAAGAAAGAAAATTCTTGGAATTTTAGAAAAATAAAACAACAAATCTTTAATAACATCTGTTCTCCATTACATTGTGCGTTAATAATTATCAAAATATGGTCCCTTTTTTTTTCTCTTAATATCAAAATGCAAAACAAGCCAAGAAATACATTTCATGTTAACATTTATACTAATACAATGCAATTGCATTTCATTTGTCATCGTTTGTAATCAATTGAGAAGTTGAATCGATTTTCATCTATGTTATATTCAAATTAACGAATCAATTTCAACTGAGGAGAGATGAAATCAGCAATCAAAAGAAAATATTTTTTCGGAAAAGAAAATCTGGAGAAATTTCCACGGATTGAATCGTCTTATTCGTATCAAATAGAAATGACAAAAAGTTTTTTCAATTGATTTGTACTTTTAATATGTAAAGAAGAAAAAAAACCAAGTCTGTAAGAACATATTAAACTTAAATTCCAGTTTTCAATCATCCATTTCAAACTAAAACATCCTACAGTTGAAGAAAATACAATTAATGATTAAAATAACTCTATGAGATCCAAAACATCTGGTTAATTTTCATAAAGTTTATCACAAATATTCAACTAAGTTTGATCATGTCCTTTTCGAACAGATTTTTCCAAAACATTCTCATGAATCAATGGAATATTTTCCCTTCGATCCGAGTCGTTTTCCTACTTCAATGTATCAGCAAACTAAAATCTCGCTCAATTTTTTTCGATCAAAGAAGAAATTGCTTAGTTGATTTTCGTAATAGAGTTACATTATCTCGTAGATTCCATATCAATCCTCTTATTTGATCACTAATTATGAAAGAAACTATTTTAAAGATTTTGTTAATTAACTTGGATATCAATGTACTAAATGATGTTACTTGAAATAATATTTCCACAATAATTAGAAAATCACATTGAGAAAAGTCCTGTGATGAAATCGATCATCTTTTATGGATTCCACATTGTTTCTAAATGTTCATTTACAATTAAGATTACATTCGCTGCAAGAGTTTCACCAGAGAAAATCATATCTCTATAGAAGATTCAATAGAAATTTTGAAAAAAAATATGATTAGAATTCAAAGAAATCGCATTTAACATTTGATATAATCAAATAAATAATCTTTGAAAATTGAATATCAACAATTCTTTCCAACCGATCACAATGTTCTACGAGAGAAATAAAACATAATTTCATTGATAAATTACATAAAAAATACAAATACTTGTGTAAATATTCGTAAGGATTTGTCTTGTTCCCTACTTGTGAATAAAAAATACCAAAAACAAATGTAATTCTTTCTAATTAATAAATAAGAAAAACAATTCTTTATTTTCTATCTTTAATTAAATATGAGAAATATTTATATTTCGAATTCTATTCTCTTTAATGATTATTAATTACAATAAAGATCATCTAAATGAACTTTTTC